ATCCTGTAGGTGTGATGACTATGGTGGTTGTGGTGGTGGTGGTGGTACTTCTATCCTCTGATGTAACTCCTTGTTGTCCATGACGCACTAGAAAACCAATCAGTGTAAAACGTTGCATTTGCCCCTTTTTTTTTTAACGAGATGTGCTTTGAGCATTTCAGAATCCGAAAGGTGTGCCGCCCCCCCCCATGTACCTCTACACCAGTCCCCTGTACTTCACCAGTCACCTGTACCTCAACACCAGCCCCTGTACTTCACAAATCCCCTGTACCAGTCCCCTGTGCCTCTACACCAGTCCCATGTACCTCTGTACCAGTCCCCTGTACCTCAACACCAGTCCCCTGTACCTCTACACCAGCCCCTGTACTTCAACACCAGTCCCCTGTACGTCAACATCAGTCCCCTGTAAATCAACACCAGTCCCCTGTACCTTAACACCAGTCCCTTGTACTTCAACACCAGTCCCCTGTACTTCAACACTAGCTCCCTGTGTCTCAGCACCAACCCCCTGTACCTCAGCATCGCCCCCTGTACCTCAACATCGGTCCCCCGGTACCTCAACACCAGCCCCTGTACCTCAACATCGGCCCCCAGTACCTCAACATCGGCCCCCTGTACCTCAACATCGGCCCCTGTACTTCAACATCGGCACCCTGTACCTCAACATCGGCCCTCTGTTCCTCAACATCAGTCCCCTGTGCCTCAACATCGGCCCAAAGTACCTCATCATCGGCCCCTAGTACCTCAACATCGGCCCCTTGTGCCTCAGCATCAGCCCCTGTACCTCAATATCGGCCCCCCTGTGCCTCAACACCAGGACCCAGTACCTCAACATCGACCCCCAGTACCTCAACATCGCCCCCCAGTATCTCAACATCGGCCCCCCCTGTACCTCAGCATCGGCTCCCTGTACCTCAGCATCGGCTCCCTGTACCTCAACATCAGCCCCATGTACTTCAATCCCAACCCTCCTACCTCAAGCCCATCATAATTTCTTCGACCCCAGCCACTTGTACTTCGACCCAATCCTTAGTACCTCAAACACAGCCCCCTGTTCCACAAATCCCGTCTTCCCCTGAGCCTCAGCCCCTTCCCCACTGTCTCAACTCCACCCTTAGCACCTCACCTCCATCTTTTGTACTTCCCTCAGTTCCCCCCCCCCCTCTATGTCTACATAAACAGAAGGCACAGTAGGTTTACCCTGCAGCACAGTAGTTTACCTTGCAGAACAATAGGTTTCCCTTGCAACCCTCAAGAGACCAGTATACTAGTTATAGGGACGTAGGCCAACTCTTCCAAAAGGTCTAGGAGCTGCAGGTGAACGCCTTTAAGAGGGCCAGGAGCTGTAGCTGAACGTAGGAGCTGCAGGTGAACGCCTTTAAGAGGGCCAGGAGCTGTAGCTAAACGCGCTCAAGAAATCAACTTAACTAAATTTGCCAAATCCAACTCTTCAAAAAATTATTTTATTATTAAAGATTCGCCGGTAATTTTCCCGGCCCGGGCCTTTTCCAAGTGGTGACCAGCCTTGGCTCCCTCTTTAGGGAGTGTCTGAGACTTAAGTCTCCCATGGGAGGAGGTATAAGTACCTCCTCATCTTTGAGACCAACTGTCCCCTCTGGTCTGCCATCCCCGCCCCAGGGGAGTTAATGGGAATGACAGTGTTTTGAGCTGTAAGCTCGGACTCAGGCACTTACCCTACCCCAGAAGGGTTAGGCATGGTGTCGATGTTTAAAAAAAAAAAAGGTAAGTTTTTATAATTACTTCCTTTTTTAATTTATTTTTTTGTAATGCTCTACAATTATGTAAGGAAAAAGTAGTCTGTATTAAAAATGACCTGAGGAAATCTGACCCAGCTTCCAACCATGTACAGCTCAGGATTTTAAAGAAAAAATCGGCATATTGGTACCCGCTCAGTCAAAGAATGAGCAAAAAAAAAAAAATGCTTCCATTTTTCTGAGATGTTTAGACTAGCGTGGACTACCCTGGCACACCTTGCTTAGGTGAGGTAAACATTAGCGTGGAGCAACCTTCCTTAGGTGAGGTAAACACTACGTTTAACAACCTTCCTTAGGTGAGGTGAACACTTTTTTTTTTTATATTTTATTTAAAACATTACAATACAAGGTGGAAATTATATTAAAATGTACACAAAATAAGTTAAATCACAAATTCCCAATTTACCCTTACAAAAATGATTACACCAGACAAAAGTGTTCTGACACCATATCACCACACACCATATACACCCAGTTATACCAGAATTATATACCTGTGAAGGCTGAAACTTTTGTCACAGTTTCACCCTCCCCCCTCCCGCAAATATAACCATCACCAACCTGATTGCATCTTAACTTAACATTAAAGGATACATAATAATTACACTATCATGAGTGATTCAGTAACACCTTAGACACAAAAATATTAATAACAATATTAACAATGGGATACATGTCTTTACTTAAACACAATGACACCTCAACCTGGTGAAAGAAATACACTTTAAAAGATTAATTTTCTAAGAAGGTTGCAACAATGAATGTCAACACCTCTCAAAGGTAACTTATGTGCAATTAGCATGTATACCCTATTCATTCAACATAGTATATAAATATAAAAAACTTTATATTATGAAAAACATCACAATAAAAAGGTATTAAGTATAAACCGCAGCCATGTAGCGGCTACACGCAAAAAATTCTACATACTTCCCTAACACCGATAAATAAAAAAAAAACTTTTTGTGACAACTGCACCTAAACACAACTCACATCATATGACTTAAGACTGCTATGTACATAGATAACAACATAAGAATAAATCTAATTTGAATGGATCACAGTTGATAAATCAGCCTTAACATATCAGACGTTAGAGAGTAATTCTCATTGTACAAGTCCAAGTCCAACTTGTATGTAGTCTCATCTTTCTACATACAATAATATGCGTATTATCCACACATTATACTACAACACACTGGACAAGCAACTGTCCATCACTTCCAACACAATATACTGCCCTACCCTCACTCTGCACAGTGATGGAGGCAAGGACCCCCCCCCATTTATACCTTATCCATCATTCACTACTACCTTGAAGGAACATGAGTACTATATGAATAGTGTTATAGTCCATGACACACAAGAAACTGGCCAGCTCCACAGGTGCTAGCACCCGTGGTCCATACATTATTCACTCACGCATCACTCATCCAACACACACGCAAACATTTGTTGTCATTCATTGCCAGGGAGGCGACCCTGTTTTCACCCATGACTTCTCTACCCCAGCAACACTTTCCAGTCGTACCCTCCCCTCCCTCGTATATTACAAGTCTAATAAAACCTGTAACGTAAGTTTCCTATATCCCTCTGAAAAATCCCTCACCCACCTCCTCCCATAAATTTCCTTATTTCTACAGAGCGTTTTATAGAACGTTACCGCTAACACCCTCCTCTTCACCTCACTAACCTGTTTCCCCTGCAATCCCCACACTATATATATATAATCTACCATTATGTACCCCACAGCTCTGATGACACTCTCATCCAGTCCCCACCAACGATGGCCACTGCAGGTAAACCACGTGAGAAGAAAACTAGTTCTTCACATACAAAATCCCTTTTTACTCTTACATCATTTTCTGCTGGTGCATACACACTTACAAAGGATACCCTCTGCCCCATCCACCACCCGTCCATGCACAATACTCTCCCCCCCTCCCCCCTCACTTCTTAGCAACACAAACGGGCTCGCCTCCCTGATCAATATACCCACACCACCTTTCAGACGTGCAGATGGCAGAGTCATGACCTGAAACCCTGCCACCTTGAGCTCTCTTCCCTCCTTTAAAATTGTGTTCTTGCAGGAACACTACATCCACCCTATATTTACACAGAAACATTCGAAACCATTCCCTCTTCACACTATTACACAGTCCATTTACATTCACAGTCATACACCTAAGGCCTCTTTATAGTTTCCAACCCTTCCTCCTCTCTTCATTCATCCCAGGGCCTCCTGCCCCAGAGCCAGCACAAGGCTTCACACCATCAACCCCCCCTTTCTTGCGATGCCGCTTATCCTGACTACCTCGACAGTGCTCTTCCTTTCTCCCAGACCTCTGCGCCGGCGTCAGGACATCATCTGAGTCTGACGCTGCCGCTCTCTTCCTAGTGTTACAAATAACGCGATTCTAAAAGCTTAGAGATCTCCAGTGAATACTAGAAAGGACTGCCCTTCTAGCATCCAGCCTGTTACTGGGCTTTCGTAACAATTAGTCAGTATCCTTGTCCAATTATCCATTAGAATTCAGTATGATTCAATAGTGCTTCAGGATTACAACTGGTAGGCTACTAACTAGATAAATTAAAATTTAATAAATTTATTAATTATTGTCTAGAGGTATATCATATTAAATTAAGTCAATCACAGTAATCAAAATAATATTAATTACTTCTCTCGTGTACAGTAGTATTATTGTGCTGAAAGCACATCTCACATTTATAAGTCTTAAGTACCGTCTGGTACATTAACATTTAATAAAATATTACAAATATGTACAAGTAAGTTTGTGTGTATGTGTGTAAGTGCTCTAAGTAGTGCGTTATGTCTCACGACTCGACTAGACTTAAACAAATGACTGACAAAGTCCTCAAATAAACTAATTCTTGACCAACTGGCAATCAGAACGTCTGCTTGAACATAAAAAGAATGCTAAGCCCAATAGCAATATAACAAGCAACTGCGACACAGAATCAGGAACAAGGAGATAATATAACGACACTAAGTAGGGACCATCTACAGATCCTCCACAAAAGTCACAAAACTCCCATACTACTGAATCTAAGTTCAGCATAAGAAAATCCCCGACTTTGATAATACACAGATACCAGTACAAGTTAGGTCAGAAGCTACAGCTCAGGACCTGAGTTGTTTAGTGTCTATGCGAACACACAACCTCAGTACAATGTCGAAAATCACTAAGTCTGTACAGTGTTCTG